AGGAATGAACAGAACAGGGAGAGTGAAGTAGAGAGTGAGCTCAAAAATCTTCCACACGTTCTCACTGCATACAAAATGACTTGGAACTCTTTTCCGGCATTCCAAGTGTGTAAAGCTTGGATCTGCATCCAACTTTTCAGCCTCATTTCTCACTATTGATACTAGCCCACATGTCTACTTGAGTTTGAGACACATTCTCACTTTTTCTACTTCATTGCCCTGGACTCATGCTACTATATCCTCAGTCTAGAATGTTCTCCCTCACCTCATTCCCCTTTGGACATTTAGCCAAACTTCGGTGCAAAGTTTAAACATACCACCTCCAAGAAGCCTTGTGAAATGTCTTGGTTGGAATTAATTTCTTCTCTCAAACTACCTGTTAATATTACTTTATTATGGCACTTATTTGCCTCATACATCTCCATTAGTTTGTGAGGATTTGGAGAACAGGAACTGTGCCTTGGTCATCATCATTTTTTTTTTTCTTTTTAGCTTATTCCACACAAATTCTCAGTTCTTTACAATAGAAGTCACCCAATATATGTTGGACTTAAATACGCAGCCAAGTAGCTGTTGACATTGTCAAGTATTGACTCTTCTAAAATATCATCCAAACACCTCATGGGACAAAGCTGAGTTTCTCTTACTAGGGAAGGAAGAACACCACCTTAACAGAGGGATATTATTATTACTTATAACATTTATTTTCTTGGGCAAGCATTTCCTACATGGGGTCATAGGATTTTGGCCCCTAAAGGTTCATTGAAAATTCACTGGCATGAGACTGTTTAACAGGAGAAAAGACATAACATGTTTATTTAATGTGTATACATGGGGGCCTTCACAATGAAGACTCAATTTCCCAATGAGTTACAGAAACTTATATTCTACCCTGAGACCACAGTAAAGAGTTTACACTCAGAGCATGGCTTGAAACACATTTGGCGGCAAGACAGAGGTTAGGAGAAAGAGAAAGGAAACGGCTTGGGTGGCAAAGGTGGCCTTGTTATGTACACGAAGCCTCCCTCACAAAAGGGAGGGGACACGGACATTCTCTACAGATGCACATTTTCCACCAGTTAAGACAGCATGGAGGTGGGGTTGGCAGCAGTAAGGGGTGGAGAGGGCATTAGGATAAACAGCTAGTGCACGTGGGTCTTAATACTTAGGTGATGAGTTGATAGGTGCAGCAAACCACCATGGCACATGTTTACCTATGTAACAAACCTGCATATCCTGCACATGTATCCCAGAACTTAAAATACAATTTAAAAAAAAAAAAAAAAAGACAGCTTTGTAAGGCCACTTCTGTTTGCTGGCCAAAGTAACAGCCATGTCAAAATATGTCAAAGAAATACATTGTGGGCTAAAATATTTTAATTGCCTTCACTTGGAAGAATAAACTCATATTGATGAAGATGGTAAAATACTAAAGTCATAATAATGTGAACAGTAAGCTGTGGGTGGAAGGGGAGGAATGGCTTATTTTTCAACATCAGTAAGAATCTGCCAGCCGTCAAGTTAACAGCATTATAAACGTGGATTTTAGAAGAAAATGAGAGGTAAAATACCCTGACACTTCTTTATTGCCTCATCATCCTATGTTTTCCATTAGTCAATTGCCTTATTCTTTTTAAATGGAACAAAAACAACTAGAGCAGCATCCTGCGATTTCCACATACCCATATAGACCCTACTAAGAAATTTAAATCCACCTGTTTTTAGAATTTCAAAGATGCACCCAGGTTCCGGAACACTGGAGAGGAACAAGAGAGAAGGATGAAGTATGGGGACTTCTGGTTATGCCAGGGATGCTAAATAAGCTTATTTTGCCTACCAATATTGAGTTCCTAGAGGGCCATTTTGAAAGGATTCCGGGCTGGGCATAGTGGCTCACGCCTATAATTCCAGCACTGTGGGAGGCAGAGGCGGGCAGTTCACGAGGTCAGCAGTTCGAGACCAGCCTGACCAACATGGGGAAACCCCATCTCTACTAAAAATACAAAAATTAGCCAGGCATGATGGGGTGCAACTGTAATCCTAGGTACTGAGGAGGCTGAGGCAAGAGAATCCCTTGAACCCAGGTGACGGAGGTTGCAGTGCGATGAGATTGCACCATTGTGCTCCTGCCTGGGAGACAGAGTAAGACTCCGTCTCAAAAAAAAAAAAAAAAAGAAGATTGTGAGTCCATGTCTGGACTTCACAGAAAAGAGCAGTACAACAACTGAAGCCTGCCAATGGCATGGGAAGGGTAGTGTTTGCCCTTTCTGAGTTATTAAGACTACACGCATTGTTTAGTTCCATTCAGACACCTTGTTTTTGCTTTGTTTCTCATTCTTCCTGATAGAGCCACAACAATTCTAAGTACTACTGTGTTTTTATTGCCAAAACTTCTGAGTGGAGGTATGGAGGGCTCCATGCAAATACTGGAATTCTTTCAGAGAAGTAACAGTCATGCTGTTTGTTCTTTTTCATAGAGACAGCATCTCACTTTTGCTTTTTTTTTTTTTTAAATAGAGATAGCATCTCACTTTTGTTTGTATGTTTGTTTTACAGAGACAGGGTCTCACTATGTTGCCCAGGCTCATCTCAAACTTCTGGGCTCAAGTGATCTCCTACCTCAGCCTCCCAACATACTGGGATTATGGGCATGAACAACAGAGCCCAGGTTCATGTAGCATTCTTAAATGACCAAATAGACTCAGCTGAGGGAACTGAAGTAAAAATTATGAATATTCTGATTGAGATACAGAAGTAAATATAGTATTTCCATGCCCCTTGATCACTGATTGACCTACATTTAAGAATGTGAGCCAAACTAGTCAAGAGAATCCTTCTTTAGGACTTGTAATTTGATGCTAGGGAAAGAAACTCTTTTCTTTCTTGGGTTCCTAAACTGGCACTAGCCCATATAGACAAACATTGCACAGAAAGCAAGGGTAAGAGACCAGATGACTTTATGAATTTTGAGGATTGCCCTACTCACAGACTTTTCAGTTTTGTGAACCAATAAATTCCTCTTGCTGAAGCCAGTGTCTGTCATTTCAAATTCAAAAAAAATCTAATTTCTTTAGGACAACACCTAATGATCAGTCTCAAATTCTAGAGACACGCCTAGCTTGGAGGTTCTTCAGGAATCCTCATCTCTTCCGCAGCCTCCCACCCACTCCACAAATTCCATAACCTAGAAACAAAGTTTTTCATTTTACTTTACAGACAGATTTCATACCAGTCATCTATATCTTTTGTACTCCATAGAGCCCAGATTAAAACTCACACAAATTAGCAGGAGACCAAATATGCCTTGTAGTGATGACTGCTGTACATCAAAGAAAATGACTGAGGCAAATCTCCATCATTGTAGAGGTTTATTTTTCCAAGGTTGAGGATGTGCCTGGGAAAAAGACACAAGACACGGTGGAATCTGTAGCCTGTTCTTTTTTTCCCCAAAGAAGATTTTGAAGGCTTCAATATTTAAAGGAGAAAGGCAAGCAGGAGGGGAAAGGGGGAAGAAAAAAAGGGGGGAAGGCTATTGTCACACTCTCGTGAGGCTTTCAATTAGGCTGAGTCCATATGTTGTACATGAAAAGGAGGGGTAGAGGAAATAATTATGTATTCATCTCATATTCAGTAAGTCTGAATTTTTACATAAGATAAACACAGTAGAGGATGCAGTCAAATATGTATTCATCTTGGGGTGGGAGGGACAATTTCTAGTCTCCTCTTGTTCTAAACCTGTGAAGATAAGCTGTTAATTGACATTGTCAATGTGAAGGGGGCCTCCTGTGGAGACATGTGGCCTTCTATCTGTAGCTATCAAGTTTAAGAACAAAAGGAATGGCAGGATTGGGGGTATTTTTGTGACTCAGCTTCGAAGCTTAACTTTTCCCTGCGGCATAGTGAATTTGGGGTCCCAATATTTTATTTTCCTTTCACACTGCCTGTAGACAGATAAAAGGAGAGAGAAATTACATGAAGCCATCTGAAAGATAAGAAAACAGAAAAATATCGATATGATTCCTAGCCACCTCTTTTAGTCTCTGGAAACATCCTAGGGGCAGTATAATCATGGAAATGACAAAATTCCAGAACAATCTTATTTTTCTGAAAAACGATTAATTCTGTGAAAGAACTAACAAGAAAGCTGCCTCCTCCCAGTGATGTCGCCGCTTTAATTAGCCTGTAAGGGTCACGTCTGGTCACTGCAACCCTCTTCTGATAATGCACATGTCTCACTGGCTTCCTTAGGCTGGTGTTTTGTCAGCTCTGTTTCCTGTAGCCCATGAATTGTGTTGAGATGCAGCAGAGAGACTTCGTCAGGATAAAGGGGAAAGCAATAGGACAGTCTCTTGCGGCCTTGCATCCACCTGAATCTCTGTTTTAAAAAATTGTCTTTTATGTAGTAGGCTCCCAAAGAAAAGATGTGGGGATAAAAAGGTTTAGACAGTCTAAAATATTAGAAACTAGCTGCTTTAACTAAATATATATAGCATAAATCCAGGTACTGCATTTTTTAAGTATCCCAGATGTCAAAGGTCTTAGATAATGAAAGAAGGTACCACCGGTTTTACACAGTTGAAGGTACCTCTGGCACTGTAAATACATTCAATGTATTAATCTAAAAGCATCACCCACTTCTGCCAACCCTTTATTAGAAAATAAGATTCTGTTAATCTTGCTTTCCCGAGCATGCACCAACTGATGAGTTCTGCATTTGTTAAGAAGTAAAATAAAGATTGAGACAGGGCACTAGTGATGCCTCTGGGGTTTAATCACTTGGGCTTATCAGTCTTATGTGAAATTGTACCATTTGAGATCAGAAGCTCAGCATGCAAATAAACCTCTATTGTTCCGACACACAGGGACCTCCACACATAAGTAACATTTCAAGGTATTCTTCTTTACGTGTAATCAATAATACAAAAAACACCTGGGGTGACACTCTTTGGTACAAAAGAGAGGCAGAAAGAGGCTATGAGGAAACATTGGTTTGACAAGACTTTAAACACACTATGCTTTTAATACAACTATTCCCCAATACATCAGGAACTAAAGTTATTGTGACCTTGTTAATTTTACAATTCTGTCCTTTTCCATAACCAAAAAAGGCCTTAAAAGAAAGAGACGAACCTCTAATTCTTCGTCTTACTCCCCATCTTCAAAGCAGATTTTCTTTTCTCCCTTGTATTTAGATTCCATTCTTCTGCTTGAGGTAGTAAGTTCAGGGAATTTTCAAAGAGACAAAAGCTACTCAAAAGAATATAAATGTCAAAAACATGTAAATTTCTCCTGTTCCATTTTTCCCCAAGTCAGGAATGTCCTTTGTTGTCTCCTGGTCTGTTTCAGCTGGCTGACATCTCTGGTTGAGGAGCAATCATCCGGGCAGCATCCTTACAATGTAATGACAATCAGTTACCAAAAATGTGCAGGCACTGATAACAGGATTCAGAAGGGTCAGAAATGAGTGTAAGAAAATAGATATTTCAAACAAGTGCACAGCAGCTGCTGCCGACCTTGACTTAAATGCATCCAAAACATTTATTAATTTTCTTCTCTAAAACAAAGAGGAGCCAAATGAAATCCTGATAAAGGCTCATTGTGAAGAGGGGGAGAACACTTTACTGTTTAAATGGTATTCCTGCAGTTAAATTAAATTCTTCCAAAAACATCTTTTCTCCCACTTCTTCAGCCAAGAAGAGGGAGGTGTTAAGGAGGAGGAAAGATATATTTTCAGATTTATACCTTCTTTGAGGACGATTCTACAGTTTTTATACAGTAAAAACTAAACCAGGTACATATAAAAAACAGATACAAAAAAAAGTTTAGCAAACCCATTAGGACAATACCAAGAATTTATGCCAATTGGATGCCCTGCCAAAGAGGTAACAAGTATGCAAACATGAAAGCAGCTGCGGCAGTTAACTTTATTGAGTGCCTACTATACAGAGGCATCCGTTTAATTCAAAATGATTCTGCAAGCTTGGTAATACCCTTTATCTTGCAGGTGAAAAATCAAAGGCTTACGTAAGTTAACTTGCTCATGGCAAAGCGTTTAACATAAGGGGTCCAGGATTTAAAAGCAACTTGAGTCCAAAACCAGGAATGATAATCTTTGTGTTCTCTAGTGTAAAAAAAAGTCAAAAGATAAGTTGGGAAACCAGAATGGGGAGGGGTCTAGAGATCTTGTCACATTAAACAACTTTAGCCATTTAATCTAGAGAAAAGAAGCTTGGCAGGCTTTGTAGAAGCTGTGGGAAAATATCTGAAAGGCCACCATATGGGTGAGGAGAGACTTCCTTTTAATACATATGTTTCATTAAAAACAAACAATAATTTTTAGATTCTACTTCTAGCTGTCACAGAGAAGCTTCATTCATAGTAAACTTCCCACTGAAAACAACTATGAAATCTAAGAAAAATAAATTAACATTATTTTTAAAACTGTTTACATTCATCAGGGAATAACTAAAGCAGCTAGGATTTAATAGATCAAGATCCTGGCGAGAAGGAAAATGTATTGAGAAGATCCCTATATTCCTTATTTTTTCCCCTCCATAAGGCTCTTGCCAATTTTTAGAGAAAAGCATAGAGGCAGATCAGAAAGTAGCAATCAAGAGATTCTGGCACCCTCACTGATTGGAAAAAATCAAAATAAATGAGCTCAGGGCTACTTAGAAAGCTGGGATTTAACAGAAAATAAAAACATTTCAAGATCAATGTTTCTGAAAGTATGATAATTTGTCATTAGTAGAGTTGTTGCAGGAAAGGGGTCTCGATCCAGAACCATGAGAGGGTTTTTGGATCTTGTGAAAGAAAGAATTCAGGGTGAATCCATAAAGTGAAAGCATGTGTATTCGGAAAGTAAAGGAATGAAAGAATGGCTACTCCACAGAGCAGCCCTGAGAGCTGCTGGTTGCCCATTTCTATGGTTATTTCTTGAAAATATGCTAAACAAGAGGTGAGTTACTCATGGCTTCCCTTTTCAGACCATATAGGATAGCTTCATTTCATTTGTAAACATTATGGTGCTGGTGGGGGTATAGCAGTGAGGACAACCAGAGGTTGCTCTCGAGGCCATCTTGGTTTTGGTGGGTTTTGGCTGGCTTCTTTACTGCAGCCTTTTTTTATCAGCAAGGTCTTTATGATCTATATTTTGTGCCAATCTCCCATCTCATCCTGCGACTTAGAATGCCTTAACCATCTGGGAATGCAGCTCAGCAGGTCTCAGTCTCATTTTACCTAGCTCCTATTTAAGATGGAGTTGGTCTGGGTCACACGCCTCTGACAAAGTAACATTAGAAAACTGCTAAAGGAGGTTCTTTCGGCAGAAGGAAGATGATTCCCAATAGAAGAACACTTGCAGAAAAGAAGAGTAAATACATGGATTAATTTAAATAACAGGTGACTAATAAAACTGTATCTTGGCCAGGTGCAGTGGCTCACACCTATAATCCCAGCACTTTGGGAGGCTGACGGGGGAGGATCACAAGGTCAAGAGATTGAGACTGTCCTGGCCAACATGGTGAAACCCTGTCACTACTAAAAAAAAATATACAAAAATTAGCTGGGCGTGGTAACTCGAGCCTGTAGTCCCAGCTACTACAGGAGGCTGAGGCAGGAGAAACGCTTGAACCTGGGAGGCAGAGGTTGCAGTGAGCCGAGATCATACCACTGTACTCTAGCCTAGTGCCTGGTGACAGAGGGAGACTCTGTCTCAAAAAAAACGGAAAGTGGTCTCAGTGGAGTAGTGGGAACGAAAATCTTGCCTGGTGGATTGAAGAGATCATGGGACATGAGAAGTACGAAAAAAAAAAAAAAAAAAAAAAGTCATCTTGTGCAAATAAATTATACACATACAAATGTAGCATATTTTATACATAATTTAAACGTGACAACAACACAAAAAAATGGAAGAGAATGGTAAATAGAGTTACAGTTTTTAAGCTTTGATTTATCCTAGAAATGGTAAAAGTAAAATTTGAAGTAGACTAGGTCAAAAAAGTATCTTGTAATGTTTAGGACAGATTCTAAAATATAGCTGTTATAAAATAAAACTTTATAAAGAGAAGAGGCTGATCACTCATGTAATCCTAGTACTTAAGGGAGTCCGAGGCAGGAAGATTACTTGAGCCCAGAAGTTTGAGACCAGCCTGGGCAACATGGTGAGACTCTGTCTCTACAAAAAAAAACACAAAAATTAGCCAAGCATGGTGGTGCATGCTGGTGGTCTCAGCTACTCGGGAGGCTGAAGTGAGAGGATTACTTGAACCCAGGGGATTGAGGCTACAGTGAGCCATATCTTGCCACTGTTGTCCAGCCTGGGCAACAGAGCAAGACTCTATCTTTAAAAAAAGCGAGAGAAAGAAGACAATAGAGGCAAAAGAGTAATATTAAAATGTTTGATTAATTTAAAAGACTAAAGATCAGAAAAAAAATATAACAGGTGGAACACATAGAAAATACACTAAGATAACAGATTTAAAGCCAAATATATCAACAATTACATTAAATATAAATGGACATTAAATATCCTTTAAAAACACAAACATGGCCATATTGAGAAATAAATAATAATAACTGTATCAAATGTTGCTTGCAGGAGACATATCTAAGAACCAGAAGGGGCCAAAAAGAGGGTACCTTGCAAATACCAATCAAAAGAAAGCTGCTGTAGGTACAGTAACATGAAACCAAGATTTCAAGATGAGAAGTATTATTACCAGTAAAAAGGCAGAGTTTGAAAGAACCAAAGGTTAATTTTGGTGGAATGTAACTGTGTATATCCTTAATAACACAGGCTCGAATATAAATCACAAACTGATCAAACTGAAAGGAGAAACAAAAATGTGCATTCATAGGTTGAGAACAGCTCCCTATCAGTAACTGATAGAACAAAAAGAAAAATGAAAAGATATATTTTTGAACAAGCCAATTAACCAATGATACCTAACTGGTATGTATACAGAACACTATACCAGCAGCTGTGGAACACACATGCTGTTAAAATGCACATGCTTATTCACCAAAATGGGCCATGAAGCCAGAATCAGTACTCCGAGCACAGTAGAAGTAAGTTAGAAATCAGCAACCAAGAGATAACTAGAAAATCACCAAATGTTTATAAATTAAGCAATCGTTTTCTAAATGACCCACAAGTCAGAGAAGAAATAACAAAGCAAATTAGAAAATATTTTAAGCTGAATAATTAAATATAGAATTATATATTTAAGTTTTAAATATAGAATTATATTAAAAGTATAGCTATCAGAATTTGTGGAATGTAGATAAAATAGTGCTTACAGAGAAATTTATAAAATCAAACACATACTTTGAAAAAAAACCTGAAAAAATTATTTAATCATCTCCTAAGAAGCTAAAAAGCATACAAATTAAATGCAAAAAAAAAGTAGAAGGGAATGTTAATGAGAAAAAACTCAAAATAGAAAACACACAATTTAAAAATTGGTATTTTTGAGAGATTAATAAAACAGATAAACACCTATCAAGACTCATTACAAAGAAATCAGAGAAAACTCTTCTTAAAAATTGCAGGAATTTAAAAGGGACATCATTAGAGATCTTAAAAGTATTTAAAAGGTAAGAACTTACAGCCTTCAGATAAGATGTAGAAGGTCTTGAGGGACCATTTCTCCTACCAGATAAACTTTAAAAATTACTGGATCATCTCCCCCATATCAAAGATTGGATAGTTGCAGATGAAAAAATGATGCAAAATTAAATCACAGGGGAGGATAAGATATATCTAGGTGAGCAGGTATCAGTGGCCAAATTCTCTTCTGCTGAATTTCCACAGGGGCTGGTGGAAGACTGGGCTTATATCACTCTCTGGAACTCTGCTATGATACAAGAAAGCAGACCTTGTGGGCTGGTATGAAGGGATTGAAGTCCTCAGGAGTTTGAAATGCAAAGAACTAGTTCTTCTTCCCTGCTGAGTTTTCCCCATGAAACTTTCGGTGAGTGTGTGGAAATGGTATGAAAACAGAATTGGAAAAGCAGAGTAAGCACTCTGTAGTCTTCTGGTGCTTAGATCCCAAGGTCCCACTAGAAAAGGTAGTTTCTAATACATACAGTACAGAACAAGTTAGCCCTAAAGCTATTTGAAAACACAGGTGAAATAAAGCTAACTAAAGCTGTATCCCAGCCCACAAACCAGCTCAAATTCTATCTGGATTATAAAGATTGACGTATTTTCCTAAATTATAGTCAAAGGAAAGAACGTGTCATCCCTTTTAGAAGATAGTATTGTGCTCACTTTGGTAGCACATATACTAAACTTGAAACAATACACAGAAGATTAACCATGGCCCCTGCACAAGGATGACACACAAATCCGTGAAGCACATTCCATATTTTAAAAATTGAGTTTATG